ATGATATACTAGTAGTACAAATGAGATCTCAAAACAAACCACAAGGTTTAAATGTTAATTACTTGAGATGTTAAGAATTTTGAAACAGTTCATGTAATAACTGAATGCATGCGTTCATCTAAACAAAAAAAATAAATTGTATTTTCATTCTGAAAAGATGTTGCCCAAGCCACATGCACAAAAAGGTTGCTTCCCTTTGTACATCTCGTGTATGTAGCGGCTTGTCACGAAATATTTATCGTCTTTTAATATACAGTACAGGCCTCGAGTTTTCCGCAAAAAACACGGGACCCCGTGGACCGCAAGTCCACGCTTTAGCGTGGACCAGTCACCTCCAACCTTGTCGGCATCTTTGAAGTCAGCGTTTCTGTGCACCGTGTAACACGGTGTGTCACAGTTCTGATGATAAATATTTTAAACATTTTCATTGCCCTTATTTAATAAAATTAATCAACTTTCTTTTGAAATATTTGTTGTACTTTTCCATAAATTAATATTTGTAATTTATCGCTTACAGATGTTTAAACTAGTTGGATGCCTTAAAATTTAATTTAATAAATTAACAATGTACTCGTGTCCAGCAAAAAAAAAAAAAAAAAAAAATGTACTATCACGTTTCAAGTTAAATCCTAATTATATTAGTCATAAAAAGTTCAATAGACTATTATTATATTACACTAAGAGGAAACACACTTTCATAAATGAATTACTTGATCCTCTCTATTTTCGATTTTGATTTTAACCGTGTTCAATTAAATTGATGATACAAGATCGTTTTTCCATACGTATGCATTCATACGTAGTACACATCAGATACGTGATAATATTAAGTGAATTAATTATTTTGTAAGAATTTATATATATATATATATTGCTATTGTTATTCAAAATCCACTGAAGAGCCGAATGGCGAAAGCGCTTTGGAATAAAATGTGATCATCTTTTCCAAACTCTGGATTATTTTTCTATATATATATATATATATATATATATATATATATATATATATATATATATATATATATATATATATATATATATATATATATATATATATATCAGTGATGTGCCATAAGTGTTCGTCCAAATTCAATTTTCATTACGTCACTTTACATTTTCACATAACTTCGTCGACGCTGTATCTTTTAACCATGGCGTCAATGTTGAATAAATAAGTATATATTTATAGCATATCCACGTGACTGTCAGGTGTCACAATTACGTAGCAAAATTATTTTCGTCTGCTGTGTATTTCCCCTGTAAACAAAATGGCTACCGTGCGTAAAGAATTGAGTACTGATGTTAAAGAAGTCATCGTTTCTCTTTACCTGTCTGGATTAAAACATTCAGAAATAGCAAGGAGATTACAAATTCCCCGGTCTACAATAACTTCTGTAGTTGACCGGTATCGCAAGCGAGGAAGTGTAGAAAACATACCGAGGAAAGGGAAGCAGGCAAAGCTAAGTGACAGAGACAGTCGCAGCATTTTAAGGTTGGTGAAAGAAAACAGAAAGAGAAAATTATCAGACATAACAGCCTTATTCAATGAAAATAGAGACTCTGCTATATCTAAACGGACAGTTCAGCGAAATTTGTACAAACAGGGGTATTTTAGAAGAGTTGTTCGAAAGCGCATAAGAATTCGCGAAGTGAACAGAAAAGCACGGCTCTCCTGGTGTAGAGGAAACAGATACAAAACTATAGATAATTATTGGAACAGGGTCATCTTTAGTGATGAGTGCAAAGTGGACGTTGGGACTGATAACCGTGTTTTTATATGGAGAAAGGTGGGCGAAGAGTGGATGCCATGTTGTCTCTCGCAACCTCCAACACCGAAGTTTAGTTTAATGATATGGGGCTGCATCACTTTCAACGGTGTAGGGACTAGACTGTTGTAGATGGTAACATTAATGCTAGAAAATACATTGATATAATTGAAGATCAACTTTGGCCAGTCATAGCACGCCATTTTCCTCGAAATAACTATATATTTCAAGATGACAACGCCCCTATTCACAGAGCCCGAGTAGTTCAAGAATATAAATTACAGAATAATATTCATTCAATGGTTTGGCCCGCTCAGAGTCCTGATTTGAACATTATTGAAAATATCTGGTTGAGACTGAAAAGAGAACTGAAAAACGGCAACGAAATATTCTTGTGTAAAAATCAGCTGGAGGCAGCCATTCGACGTATCTGGATAAACATCCCAATTTATTATGTTCAGGGCTTATACAGGTCGATCCCAAGACGAATACAGAAAGTTCTGAGGTCAAAAGGCTATATAACAAAGTATTAAGGTAAGAAAAAATATTTTATAATTTTATTTCTGTGTTTTATTTTTCCGAAGCGTCTAGTTACTACGGCGGCCATTTTGAATTTGGACGAACACTTATGGCATACATGTATGTACTGTGTCTAGAATAATTTAAAAAAAAAAAAAAATTCGTATCAGACTCGCACATGAATTCTGCTCTTTGATACCGATACTCGGCGAATCATTGGACAGATTCAGATAAGGATTATTGCAGTAAGACTAACACTAAAAATCTGTAATTATGTAAAATATGGAGATAAATATTAAATGCGGTAAACTCAGAGATGATAATCTGATAAATTTCATTAATTAAAATAGCGATCAACTTAGTAAACACGCTGAATACAAAAATCACAGCCGAATTTTTGGCAAATGAAATGTACTAACTTCAGTACGAATATCACTTCATTCTGAAATATATCGTGTGAAAAAAAACGGTTTGAGAAAACATATAGATATTTAGCGATTTTTAAAAATGCCCCCCCCCCCCTTCCAGAAAGCGATACGAATCAGCTGGTTAAAACTTTATCAGAAGTCTGCAAATTTATGTTATGTTTTTTAAAATCTTAATCTATACGGGATACATGCTTATTTGTGTCTGAAAAAGGATAAATAAATCAACAAAGTACACTGTACAAGTAAGTTTATAATCGTTGTTGTAGTGAAAGCTGGAAAATGAATTTCGCATATCATTTGAGTGTGTTACATGTATACACTTGCTGTGGTCAGAGCTAAAGAATTTGAAAGGTGTGATAAACAAACGGCGCCCCTGGCCCACCGGCAGCGACCCAATATATTTTTTAAACAGGTGTGAACTCGGAACTGACCATAAGATTGTTTCAAATCACAAGAAAAATTCTTTCCGCGTAAACAGACTCAAGGTCACCTAGCGTCATGGGATTGGCAGGTGATGCACGAGGATTATTTGCGTACAGCAATTGATTGCATTAAATGGGATGAATATGAACAAAAGTTGTGGCAATTAAATAAAATTAAAGAATGATTAATTGTTACTTCCGTAACTTAAATAAAACGAAGAATCAAAAAAAAAAAAAAAAAAAAAAAAAAAATACAGTCTATGTTAGAAGGGGGTTGTATTAATCTCTCTCTCTCTCTCTCTGGTATTGCTTTTTATACACTTTACAAGAATAGAAAAACTTATAAGAATAAAGAAAATCTTTTAAAAATAATTACTTACACTGAGAGGATTTTTAAAACATAACGTAGTGAATACTACGCTATGAAAATAATGTTTGCTGTTACGAGAAATACGCTTTGAAATTATTGCATTAATTTCGTGTTTCTGTTGACGATTTTCGCATCCACATTCAGAATTATTCCAGATGAACAAAATAAATGTATTTTAATAAGTAATATACATAATAATGCTTGGATCGTACACTAGTACTGTACATGTTAAAACCATGAACATACGGATTTTATACTATACAGTGTATGTGACACGAATGCAGCTCGACGCCATTTCGTCTTCCTTTGTTACATGAACACATGAGATAAAATTATTCATTTAAACTAAAATTCATAATTTTGATTTTGTAACGTGGATGAATAATTTTACTAAAATATAAATTTCTAGACACACAGTTAATTCAAATGAAAATCATTCAATTTTTTTTTTACCTATATCTTATCTCAATATCACGCGTGCCATTCAGAGTCCAATACTTGGTAGAATAAAAACGATTATTATATATACATAAACCAAAGTTATAAATTGTCATCAAAATTTATTATTTAATTTTTATCAGAAACAAACGATTTTCTCTGTAATACTATTTACACGGTGCAGCTTGGAGGAGAATTTTCTGGACACGCAGTGCGACACGGAGCGAAATTTACTGGACACGGTGCGACACGGAGGATATTAGCTGAGATTTTTCTAGACACGGTGCGGCACGGTGTGCCTACCTGTATATTTCAAATACACACGCACCGTGCTACACCGTGTACACGGTGTAACACAGAGCGTTTCACACGTTGTTTTTTCCACCGAGCGTTGCGGAAAACTCGTGGCCTGTACTGTAGTTACCCCTACTATAAAAATACATATGTATAATGTATAAATAATGTATTTTTATAGTAGGGGTTGTAACACATACAAATAACACATAACAAATACACAAAACAACGAAAAGTATTCAAAGAATTCAATGCCTATATTCATTAAAAGAAGATAAATATTTCGTGACAAGCCCCTGTGGTAGCAGTGTATTGTAAGAGAGTATGGATTTTTGTAATAAAAGGCTAGTTTTAGTTTAAATTTTGGATTTTTCAGCTGCAATACTTTGTTATTATGTCATAGAAAGAACAATTTAGTACAAAAAGTCAAATAAATCTTGGGGTACAGAATAAGGGAAGGGGGTGGGGTGTGTCCCGTCGCCAAGCAACAGTGCCACCAATAGACTTCCGTAGAAGAAAGACCCTTACATGTAATTGTAAATTTAAATACATGTATATGCTTGTAATATTATAATGATAAATTTTATTATATTTCATAATCTTAAAAAATGCATAAACTGAAAGAAAATATCAGAAAAAAGAAGATAGACAACTTTTAGAGAGGAGTAAGGGGAGTATTTTGACCTTTGAACTTCTGCGCAATATTTACTGGAATCAAAAACAAAACAACGAAAAGTATTCGAAGAATTCAATGCCTATATTCATCACCAGGAAATCTATTATAATATAGATTAATCAATAACCATCATTGTGTAAATAAACATCTGATTGAATTAATGAGTACTTTTGACTCCATTGTGTGTCTGTAGAGTGTCGGTATTTATATCGTGTGTTTGTTCATACGTATCGTTCAGGGGGTATATGTGTATTTTCTTAACTCTGTCTCTGTTACAGCAGGTTAAACAGGAAACCAATCTTTTGAAAGCCTTCTTTGGAAGCAGTGACCTTTTAGCAACACATATGACAACAATAACTTCCGCTAGCTCTTCGGAACGCATTAGTGTTTGCAGTGCCCACCATGACCAAGAGTCCACAAATGTGACGTCACTGAACACTCCGAACACGCTAGAGGCGGCGTAGATGTGTGTGGCTATGATCATAAAACCGATGACGGAGGACAAATAACAGGTAAAAATCAGACGTGATATTCCAGAGTTGTCTGAAAACCAAAAAAATAAAACTCATTAGTTACATTGTGCAATACCAGACAATATCAAAACGGTTTTAAATAAGGAGACAAAGCAAAATCAAATTGATGTTCTATTAAACAAAATTTGTTTTTTAATGACGTGAAAATATTAATGGTCGCCAACGGAAAAATTAAAAACATTAAAATGGGAATTACAATACTTAATAGCAAGATGCTATATTGATCGATATATATTTAGTGTTGTCTTACGCAAAAAATAGTACATTTAGTATCCTTTTCTAGATTTTTTTTTCATTTGATGGGTCATTTTCCCTTCTAAAAGTAGCTGCAGAACTGTAGCTCTCCGAAAAAAAATCTATTGACAGACGGGAGAGCTACAGTGCCACCCATAGAAAAAACTGTATATTTATTGCGCACAAAAAAAGTGCGCTGTTTCGCAATTTATTTCTCAGTGTTTTTAAAACTGTCATCTCAAAATATTACTAAACGTGTGTTTCAAACATATTCTTTCACTGTTTCCACAATAAAACATTCCTTATAATTGTTTTTAACAGCCCTCCTGGCCCTGAAATTGAAATCATTGAAAATTTTGCCTATTTATACTGCCATTTTGGTCTTCACGATAATTCGGTCCAACGCACTTAGTACAAGTGTAAACTACGAAAGTAATAGAGGAGTAAGGACTTTTTTGAAATATAGCTTTTTTTCAAGTGAGGTAAGAATTTTTCGGAGAGCTACAGTTCTACAGCTACTCTAAAAGAAGATATTAAGAAAAGGAAAATATTGGATGGGTGTCTAAAAAAAAAACTCTTTAAAACCTCTTGACCATAAATTTATATTTTGACAAAATGTATACTGTATTTAAAATTGTTTAAATTTCGGACTTATGGTCCCCCGTAGGTAGGGTTAGGCTACAGTATTAGGGAAGACTAAAGTTTTAAAAAACTTGAATTTCATTAGCTATTTTTTTTTGTTTTTTTTTTGTATTGCTTTTAATAATAATAATAATATATGAATTTATAAAGCGCTAAATATTAATAATTTAACTCTAAAGCGCTGTACAATAAAACGCAAGTAAACATAATTTAAAAGCTATGAAAACATATATAAAATATTAACCCATACTCATGTGTTCGAAATTATAACATTAAAATACTAAAATTACATACAAAATACAATTACGCCATTAATAAAACTCAATAAAGGAACATCATTTGTGATTTGCTGCTAAAAGTTGAGCAACTGATAATTAAAAAGCTATTTTATAAAAATGCGTCTTTAATTGTCTTTTGAAAATATCCAGGGACTGGGCCTGCTTTATGTCATTAGGAAGGTCGTTCCACAAAAATGCTGCTGCCCAACCAAGTCGTCGTTCGCCATATGTCTTCGTCCTGATATTAGGAACAACTAATCGTGATGTTGACTCAGATCGCAGTGATCTGGTGGGCTTGTATTCCATTATAAGATCTTTGATGTAAGATGGAGCTAACCCGTGTAAGGATTGGTAGACATACGGTATGTCAAGATTTTATATTGTGGACGAAAAGAAACGGGTAGCCAATGAAGATCAGCTAGGATAGATGTAATATGCTCCCGTTTGGATGATCTTGTAACTAAACGAGCTGCAGTGTTCTGGACTTTTTGAATCCGTTCTAGTAAGGCCTTTGACACTCCGTATAGAAGGCAGTTCCCATAGTCCAATCTGGCAGTGATAACGGCATTCACCATGGTCTTGCAGGCTTCTTTTGTAAGAAAGCGCCGTATACGTCCAATATTGCTTACTAGGAAATAGCATAATTTACCTGTTTTTTTAAGATGTTCGAAAAACGCGCCTAGATTTTTTACACATGGTACGCTTTCTTTTGTCTTATCTTTGTTTCCATACATGTTCATGAAGTCAAACACACCCTTGATTTGTGGCGATTTTCGGAAACACATTCTTGATTTGTGGTCATTTTCTGCGAATTTCAGTTATTGAAAGGTTGGCATTATCCATATTTTCCTGTGATATTAGTTGTCTTATAGACTGAATTGTGAACTTCAAAAGGAACAAGATTTGATTATTTGTACAATATAAGTTGCTTTTTGCCATCTAATAAGTTATCATGTCTTAAAGAAGACACTTGACGGTAGAGGAAGCCTTAGGGAAATGTGAAGCTGAAGCCCAACTTGGTTTCAATCATTTTGTTGTCGTACTTGTGTTCAGTGTGAAGCGACGAATATCGTCAAACAGAGACCTAAAAGTGGTCGCCCTAATGTGCAACTGTAAGTAAAGATATATGTAGACAAATAGCACTACCGGGTATTTGCCAACAGAAACCGAATGTCTTCAGCAGATCTTCTAAAGAGAGAGAGAAATGTAGCAAAAGGTACCGATGTCCACACAAATCTTACGAAACAGACTTCCTGATGTGTCAGATACCCCAGCTAGGACCGTGGAGCATTGCAACCATCGCCTCCAGTTTGCTCTAGACCATATCAACCGGGACCACCATAAAATATAAGGGTCAGATCGTTATGGACTGATGAATCTAGATTTCGTCTGGATTTTATTATTGGTTGTACGCTTGTATGGACTAATGGAGGAATAAAAACAAGAGATTCAAGGTTTGTTGCTTCCCCGTTTTTGTTGTGGGACAGTCATGGTTTGGGCATGAGATGTAAGATATCACGCAGAGACCTTTATTTCATAATGAATGGATCTCTAGAAGGTGTCCGTTACATGCATGTAGCTGCAGAACTGTAGCGTTATGGTTTTATATTTTAGTCTTTAGGCCATACCGCTACAGGTTCTGAATGTGGCCTGCGTGGCGCAGTTGATAGAACGTCTGCTCTACAGTCGCGAAGTAAGAAGACGATCCTTACTTCGCAGGTTCGAATCCCAGTATGGGACATGGCAACCGGTCCCTTCGGGTGAGACTTAAAAACCGAAGCCCCGTGTCGCAGTAGGGGCTGGCACTAAAAAGGTCCCTCCTGCTCAATGGCCATGAGTGCCGAGTATAGGACAAAATTTGAAGCTCTATACCGATCTCCATATTAAATAGTAAAACACTCGAGAGAGGGACGTAAAACATACACGTACAATCAATCAATCAATCAATCCTGTAATGAAAATAATGTACGATTTACGCCGCGCAATTTTCTGCGCACGGTTGGTGAGAATTTCTCCAATATCTACCACTGGTCAATCAATTACCTTCTCTTGAAATTTGAATCTTTTAATTTGTCCTCATGCACCATTCGTTTGAATATATAGTATTTAGTGAATAAATGAAGTTGATCGTTATTGCAGATTGTTTAATTACTGTATAGAAGAGGTACAATCAGCTGTTAATAATCATTTACTAGTTTACTTACTACTGTACTAGGCGGCTTTTCATCTATACACCGAACTTTTTATTATGCCATTAAATTCGAAAGAACAGGGATTTTTTTTAGATTCATATTCATAATTTCTTCTGAATAATGTCATACATATCTACCAAGTTACTTATCAAACGAAAGACCAGGCATTTGAAAGAATAATCCACAGTATTTATTTTCAATATCTAAAATACATCAATGTCAACCATCACTTTCATCACAAAAACCGGAAAGTTGTCGTTAAGCTTTACAAGTATCATATATACCTGTATTAATTATCAAACACACGCTTCTCCTTTAATTATAACACGCACATGTTGTCAAAGAAAAATGAAATTTGAATGCCCTAGCACGCCAATATTGCAGACTCAAAGAGCAATTGTAGCGAAAGCAAACTGAACGGGTGTCGGGTGAAAATGACTCCATTTGATGTGGAGGTATTGTGAAACAAAACGTTTAATGTACGGCGACGGTATCACTAATAAGGACAAACATTTACCGTAATAAAAACAATTAGAACTTAATATTCCCTTTGCAACTACTGATGGGTTTTTACTGTATGAATTGCAATAATTAGTATTTCTTTTGATCAATAATATCGGAATATTTAACCTTGATATGAACTTATTAACACAAGCGATCAATTAGCATGCCAGGAATAAATTTTAGAGGTGAAAAGCAGAAATGAAACGCGATAGTAACGTCATTTCACATTTTGACAGAAGTTAATTTTCATTTTCTTTAGAAATCCATGATTGTCGATTACTAGAACCACTGCCATGCATGTAATAAATAAATCACTTGATACTTTCTTTGTGACTTTTTCATGCATTTGTATTATTACAACTCACTGAAAACATTGAACATTTTAATCACTTCTATCATTATCAGTGTGAGTTGAAATTTGAATTACAATAAAAACAGTATATTAAGTAGAAACCAAAATACCAACCTTTTGGAAGATGACTGCTGGCGGACAGATTACTCCGAATCTTTACCGCTACGTATAGATATCCCACACACATCAGAAACCCAAACACGATGAACAGGCCCTGACAAACCACAAGGAGAGGGTCCGTCTCTGGGAAGAACAACACAGAGAGGTCAGTAGAAATGACCAGGATCACGTGAGCGGCTGTAAATCCTAAAATAGCCGGTAATTTTTGGAATTTGGGGGGTCCCACGCTCATTTTTGTAGTGTCAATCAGCGCCAAGAGAACGAGACTGAAGGAAGAGAGTAAAAAGGGACTTCCCAGTGACCACAGTAATCTAGCAGCGAGTCTGCTGAAAACTTTCTTTGTATGATAGGGGTCTACGATCAGGTATATAAATCGAAGTGAACAAAACATGACTAACATTGCTAGAAGAGACCCAGATAGGCTACTTTTGTAATGTCTATTGAATCCTTTTATTGCTCGAAACAAAAAACAAATGGCTAAAATATCCGCAACTAGAAAAGCACATCCAAAGAAATATGTATGGAAAGGCCATGCTGGGCCCCACTCCTCTATCGCTAATGACCATTCGGGCTCGGGTTCTGGCCACCCCTCTGGTTCTGGTTCCGGTTCCGCTTCCGGGTACGCTGTAGTACTGTTATGACTTAGTTCCGGTTCTGCAGAGGTACTATATATTTCAGATTCGGGTTCCGGAGAAATGTTAGTGATATTTCCAGGATCTGACATGCCGGTAATTTTCTACTATTTCATCTTGGTCAACCTAACAAAAAATTCAATTCAAGTATTAAAATTAGTTAAATTTTTTGATATATCACAAACAGACATATTTTGTTACAGCATCTGATCTCCAAGGATGAAATGAGAGGTGTTACTAGACACTGTTGAAATTTTCTGCCGCTATTCATGGTATATAGTGAAAGTTGATACAGCTATTAGAATCTGCATGAAATAATAAATATAGCTCCGTCCGCGATTTAACGCACCGAAGCATATTAGATGGCAATAAGATTTTATTGGGTATATTTGTACATAAACCTGCCTTCTAGCTCTCCTTTCAATACAAAGATGGTGGACAGATTGTCAGAAGATTTGTTTTAACTTAAATTATAAGCCAGTGGCATAAGTGTCGAGTCTGCCATACACCAAAAATTAAGCACAGGAGATTAAATGCACTGCATGTTTATATTTTCAATTAATTCTCTAAGTTGTACTAGTATATCTTTCTCAGTAAAAATCAAACTCAATCTAATATTGAAAGAACTCTTAGCAAAGGGGATAAAACCCGAGGGCTTAAGTAACAATGCAGGCCTTAGGCCATTTATAGTTATGAACCATGTGTAACACTTTTTGAATTCAAAACCATGTAAAGAGCTAACCGAGGAAACAACTCAAGGAAATAATAATATATTTTAAGTATATAGACCAGTCTTTTGACCTAGTAACCCTTTATACAAATACATACAATTGAATACAAGGAAATTGGTAAATGTATATATGTATGTGTTTATTTACATCAACCTTGAGTACAAATACAATGGCAAGGAAATGTTAATTTTTTTAATTAATATGTAATTATGAAATAATTTGAATACACCTTTACAGTTAGGTTTCTACATTATCAAAGTAGTTTTTCTATTCCTCTTCAATCTTGCAAAAAGCGTGTTCGATGAATGAAGGATATTCACTTCCCGAAAGTCTTCATCTAGATTGTAAGCAATTGAAAATAATTCTTAACATTAACACACTCTCCTCTTTCCCTGACATTACATGTATGCTTCTGATATAAAGGCAGATTCATGGCGAGTAGTTCGTTTGTTTTAATCATCAAATTTCAGTTTGATATGTTCTATTTGCCTTGATACACTCCCTCCCTCCGCCCCCTCCCCCAAAAAATCCTTAGAAAACCAGGATAAGATGTACGTACCTACTCAAGTGATAATCCAGTCCAAGGTATGAAATTCCCAAACATAAACTCGACTGAATTTTTGTTGCTGTCAATCGACCCGATTTATCAAGGAAATCAAGAGTACAAAGACAACAAGAGGCCATTACCGGGGGGCAAGAAACCTTCTGTTCATGTGGAAGTTTATCATAGGGGTACACTGAACCGAGTAGCCAGCTAGAGTAGATACAATCATTGGGATTTTTTCTGGTGTTAGAGATTGGTATGATCACATGATGTTGAAACGCTTATTGAATGACCCAAACATCAAATTCTAAAAACAGGTGACATTAAATCGATTTCAATGTAAGTACATCTATAAGTACACTAGAGTCATTGGTTGTAAGTATTGAGGATGTTATTCAACCAAATGTTAATGTGTCACTATATCAACACTTAGATGGTATATGTGCTTTCTGGGGATAAATATTTCTCTTTTTTTAAATACATTGTTTCCAACTTTAAATTGCAATGTGTGTGGGGTTTTTTGCCGACGTAATCGAAAAGTTTTACGGCATATAGTTTTTGGTCTCTCCGTCGGACTGTTTGTTTGTCCGAAAACCTTTATCCTTGCCCATTATTTAATGGTTGATGCTAAAGGTTTCATATACTCTTTATGTATACCCTTTATGAAAAGACATTTCTATGGGTACCAATAATATTTACATCATGACTTTGGAGTTTGACCATTCCTACTTCTGCAAAATTTTTACCAAATTTTAACTTTAGCCAAAAGTTATGCTAGGTGTTTTGTAACCAACATTTTTTTTTACTATTCTTTGAGTTTGACCTAATATTTGAAGAATTTAGATACCAACATATTTTTTTACCTCTTTGATCTTACAGTTTGATTTACGTTAATTTTTTTTCCAACATTCTCAGTCTATAACATTGGAACGCTTAGTGCTATGACTTTATAATTAAATTATATTTAAACCTGAATAAGACAAGAAAACACATTAACCTTCTCCACCCTCAATAAGAAAAATACTTTAATATTATTGTTCTTTCTTAAATTATATTTCATTGGCAAATTACAATTCTCTAAGTGCCGCTGAAGTTTAAAGAAACATGGTCTTCATTATTGACTTGTTTCACTACTCAATGTACAGTTAATAAGAATGGCATAAAATGAACTTGTCCAATGGGCGGTAGATCCCACCGGAAGTAGCAGATGGGGCATTTAAAACATCAAATATTGGTAACATAAAATCAGGAGGGAATCTTGATTTGTTCTGTGTAATATAAATTTTTATCGCTTCATATTGATTAGTTCTATCCAACCTAACGCAGAACTATCAAACAATTTAATACCTGTTGAGTCAAATCAATTGCATATTACACATGTACATTACCAACATTACCAAAGTTAACTGATAACACGATGTACAGTTAGTTTGGAAAATTACCATAGCTACATGTACATGTATGTAGATTTATGTTTGATTTAAAGCACTTTTAAATATTGAATAAATGATAAGATAGGCTTGATATTTATACTGTCAGATATGAACACAAATTTTACTCCTTACTGTTATTTGTTTGGAAACTGCTACGTAAAAGAAATTCAAACTGGCGCAAGAACCCTGCTTTTAAATACAGTAAAACTATGTTTGGAAGTAAATTCTCAGTTGTAGGGAATTATTTATATTCCTCTGCCAAAACGTTTTTCAATGAACTTTGGGGAAAATGTATATGTATACAGAACGCATAAGCATTAAAAAAAAAACAGTTTTACATATTTAACAAAATGATGTAAATTGAATAATTGGTGTTATAAATAGTTATACTTACAATATATTTTTCAAACTTGCCAGATTAAATTAGTCCACCATAATTTGTTACATGTACCTCTTGAATATACAACATGATATCTCACAAGCCTTATTTACATTCTGAATCTTTTAAATCATTCAAAATCTTACATAAAATTACATTAATCGTCATCATCCATCTCACTAGTTGGTCATTCTAGGACATCCGCCACACTTCCGGTGATGTGTATTCATGGTAAAGTGAATGGATCGAGTAACGATATCAATCTAACCAAATCCTCTGTAGTCACGACAAAACTTATCGGCAAAATAAATTGATACTTATGATAGTATGTGGTTTGTTTCCAATTGTTGGATATATGATCACATGAACCGAACTATATGCAATGCTCTCACTTAATATTTATGTAGAACGAATTGCCTTATTTTTCTCTGTAACTGTCAAATGCCGTCTTTAGAAGTCATTATCAAAAACAGTGAAAAATGACAAGAGTAAATGTTTTAAAACCACTTCAGACTTTTTTTTTAAACACAAATGGTCTGACGTGATTTCAATAACATTGCAAAAAAAGTCTATACATTTCCTTTATTCCCCTTCCTCGTTAAAGAGATCAAGATAATAAAAAAGCTTAATATTATATATAAAATAAACAATATTTAATTAAACCTTTTTCATTGCTCGCAGGCTTTCAGACTGTCCAAACCGGAAGTTTAGGAACAGCCGCTAATTGACATTCTATATTTAGAGGTCGCGTCATCAAGCTAACACAGGTTGATGTGAGGATCACGTGACCTGGTGTTCACATTGGCTAATTGAAATAAACACTTAAAAATATAGTATAGTACATGTACTTACTCTTAAACGTTGTTGAGACGATACAACCACTAAATACTCTTAAAACGACAAAGGATGTTTACTTCTCGCTGGTACCTGATTCCACATTTGATTTATTTTCTCTTATAACAGCAGGGGATGTTTACATATATTTGGCACCTGATCACACCTTTGTATCCAGGGGACCTTGCTTTTGCTCAAATCACGATTCGTTTTATTTCCTGGATCTATGAGACTGGTCACAGTTCTTTATCTTCACAATTTAATACACTTAATATTCTCGTTCATCCATTTTGTTGAGATTTCTCCCTCTAATGCATTCCTTGATCGCATTTTCATCGCCTTAGTGCTGATTTAACAATTAACGTAAATGGGAGGCAAATAAGTACAACTGCATATCAGGAGACTCTAATCCCTACTCAAAATACCAGCAACTCTCCACATTTCCATCCTCTTTCTTTCTAAATCATTCCGGATAAACTTTCTTTAATTCAATTTAACTGATAGGCATAATTTAGAAGTTAATGCTAACTAAAGTTTAATGTAAAATATCGAACATTCATGCAGGCTTCTTCTTCCTTTTTTTACGGAGGGACGAAGTGTTGTCGGCATTCCAAATAGTTAAAGGATAAACATATATACTAGTCAAAATTTCTAAGTCCCCAGGCAAGTTTTTGCTTTACACCGCTCTTATATTGAATTATTTTAACAATATCATTTAATAAATATACAGGATAAAAAAGTAGAAAAACAATCTTCCTCACTTAATTTATTTTATTGAAGCACTTTAACACAATATGCAGAAACGTTAAGGCACCCTAGAATTAAAAATTCACAACGTTAAATACTGCATTATCCTCCATTCAGACGAATTCACAGCAAGACAACAGTTCCTCAAAGAGTTAACACTATTTAAGAAAAATTCTTTTATTGATTTTTTTTTCCATGTGAAAACTAGGTCGTCCTCTTGTTCCGCTAGATTCTGCTGCTAGAAAAGCTGCCTCACACTCCGGTCTATCTTCTTCCATACATGTAAGCTAGGGTTGAAATTAGGATGACAAGGGGGCTTACCGAAAGTGCCTGTGCCTTGCTGACAATAGTTACATAATGTCTCATTACATGTATTCCCTACTCCTCCAGTTTGACATTGAGGGGAGGGCACTTCCGGTTCCGGTTCCATTGATTTTCCCGAATAAACTCTACGATGATTTTGTTGTGTTTGTTGAAAATCTAGCGACTTCTAATGATTAAAAGGAATTCAGATATGCTTTGTAGGTTTTTCGGGCGGAAATTATAAAGGTTTTAAGTAAAATAAAGTCATATAGTGAAAGGAAACAGAACTCTCGTTAAGTACGACCAGCTTGGGCCATTTCAACTTCACTTTCACAATGTTATGTGGACATACACCGCATTTAATCAAACTTTTTTCTGTTTTTCGTTATCAATTAAAGATGGAGAACTCATGGAAGTAAAAAATATGAAGAATACACACGCAAAACATCTGAACCACGTACTTCATGCTTTTTAACAAAAACGGTCACGGTCGAGTAATTACACATTCGATTACAATTTTTTTTGGCCTTGACAGGTAAGTATTGCAAATTAAAGGCAAAATCGTAAGCAACTAGTACATTGCTGTTAAGGTTTTGAAGTTTTTGTAAAAATAAAAGTGGGGACTTAGAAATTTTGACAAGTATACCTATGTGTCTGCATGCGTAAGCTTTAGAGATTTAGTACACGATTATTTTCTTTTTGTATATCTAAAAAAACATATTGATAATTATTTTTGGGTACAAGATTATTATTATTTCGGGAACGGGAACTAAACTATATAGTGACTTTTTTGGAGAGTAACAGTTGAAATAGACGTTGTGATCCCAAAGGAAAACCATTGACAACCGATGAGGTTTACATTTTTTTTTACGAGGGGTGTCAATTTCAACTGTATCCCTCCAAAACAGGCACTTTTTTACTGTCTTATTGATTTAGGATTCTTGCAAGCTCTTACTTGATCAGTATCCGGTCAACAGGGGTTGCTTACTCCTCCTAGGCACCTGATCCCAACTCTGGATTCTACGGGTGTCTGCGTTTATACCCTACTTACAGATTTGTTTTTTTGAGATTGCTCACTTTGCATTTCATCAATTTTTTTCATTCAAATCAAAAGATAGGTTTAACAATGAAATGTTTTGGAAAATAACCAATTGGACCATGATAACTTATATTAAGATGTATTTTTTTCTCAAGCGGTACAGTTACAATTGTTTTCAAATCATGGTCCGCGGGGTAGGGTGGGACAATACTAGGAGACCAAAGTTTTATAAGATTATATACATGTATATGAACAAAATGTTTTGATCAAGAACAAGGACCATAATCATTATGGTTTTCATACCGAGTTAATGCAGATTTTAGTTTATCAAAATCATGGCACAAAGTAGCAGGATAAAAGTTTCAAATGGGAATCAAAAGAAAAATGTTTTAAAACTGGGTATAAAAGATGCCACAGAGTTTGTTACGTCTGTTGTTTCGTACTTGGAAATTTTTATTAGAAAATACGTTAATGGAAATCTAACATCAAAGGATTATTTATGATAAACGTGATGACAAACTTTTCTGTCGTTAATATTCCTTAGTTTTATTGCAATATACCTTTAGAGCTTATGTCTCCTGTTGATCCGATAAGTAAAACATGTCCTTTTACGAATGATTTATAAAACAAAGCAATTTTATGACAAACAACTTGATGATAAAAGGATTTCAACAGTCTCGTTAACAGTCAACAGTTGAAAAAAATATGATTGATACAATAACATTTGTATCTTGTCAGCAAATACGATCGATCACTAAGTCAAGCACTGAGTAAAGTTTTCCATGCAAATTCTATGGCCATTATTTATTCACTGAATTCTCTACAAATTTTCCCGTTTTTCCGATCATTGCAAAAGCACACAACTTGTATAACGGGTCGTCAGATGCTTTAGTCTCCACGACATCAAAAAAAAAATAATCCTAGCTATCTCTGATGTTTAAGAGGCCCGTGTTTGCCCTCCTGACAAGTTGTATCGCTTTGATGGGTTTTTGATTTTTGATGTTATAATATAATATAATATATTATATAATGATATTATCAATTAATACGACTTCCAAGAAAAGCATATTTACCGAGCTCGAATGAATTGTTACATCCTACCAATTCTTACAAAATATTACAATTGAAAATGGGAGATATATATTTTTTGTCAAGCAAGTCATAATAGCTATTGTGAAGTCTTCACTATTCTTGTTTTATATAGGTTATTATTATTTCCTTCACATCAAGTTGATATGCTTTTTAGAATTTAAAATTAGTACCACAAGTCTATATGCTATTATATACATGTATTTGATCATGTTATAAAGTCTGAGCCAATCAGAGAGCTGCGACTAATACAGAAATATAATATAGTAATTTCTGATATTCTACGAATCCATGTGTAAGTAATTTTTTTTTATTTTAGAATACATTTGTTCCAGATGTAAAATAATTAAAAAGCGATGGTCATTTTCTTACCTGTTTGCTAACAGAAAGTATATATCCAGTGTATAATGTTCGCCTAAAACTTGAAATGAAAAAAAAAGTTGTTCCGTAACTGTATACTACTTATTCAACACAGAATAAGATTAAAACCTCCTGAAAATTGAAATTGCTGAAAGATATTAATCGATTTGTTTGGAAAAATATAAAGGGAAAACACAGCCTGCACGTTTATTTCGAGTTTCCTTTCAATTCAAATACATACTATCGTGCTTGGATGGGACAATTAGAAGGTTAAATCTAATGTAGACTGGTCATTCACCGGTCCACAGGAAACTATACTCTACATTTTATCAATTAAATTCAGTGAAAACTTCCGACACTGGAATTTTATTGACATGCATTAAGTGGGTTATCTCTTTTCCAGCAATTTTCTTATTTGCATCCCCATCTTAAATTCAGTATATGAGCGATGATCAGTAAGATGAGTTTATAAATGTAAGAAGTTAATTACAATAGGGTCCATAATCTGTATCCGAGTTATTCATTAAGAAATAAGGTATCGAGTTTATTCATTGGCTTTGAACACTTAAGAAATAAGGTATCATTTTACTTTTTGGAATTTTTCAATTATTGGAAGATTTATCATGTGTCAACCCGTTTTACATCTCAATTCAAAAATGATACCTTATTACTTATATTTACATTTGTGACTTATTTATACTTTGTATTTGCCTGATTGTTACTTTTAACGTGTTGCGTTAATTTTTTAGTAATTAGACGCGCGTACCCTTTATGACGTCACAGAGAAATTACGTGGAACGTTTATACGCACATCTATGACCTCTTGACCCCAAACCTGTATTTACACAGTTATAAAAACGCTTGCCTTCAGTAGTGTTATGTAAAGGAAAACATTTACAATTGTAAATATATTTCTCAAAAAATGATACCTTTTCTTATATTTACATTTGTGACTTATTCATACTTTATATTTTGATTGTTACTTTTAACGTGTGAAATGCGTTAATTTTTCATGTATGTAATCCACTAAACGCGCGTTGGTCCTTTATGACGTCACAGAGAAATTACGTGGAACGTTTATCCAAAAGCACATCTATTCTTGACCCCAAACCTGTATTTACACAGTTATAAAAACGCTTGCCTCAGTAGTGTTATGTAAAGGAAAACATTTGCAAATGTAAATATTTGGCTTTGAACACTTACTTTTTGGAATTTTTCAATTATTATTTATTTTTATATTTATCCATTCATTCATTTAGTTGTAAATGAAATTGTAGTCATAAGTTTCAAATACCAGTCATTTTCTTTTTTTCTTAAATTATTCTCATAATTTTTCTTTTTCTTTGTCGTGTTTAGTTGTATTTTTCTGTATGTTATCTCAAATTGAACCAAAGCTTTGGCTTTTTCTGGTGTCCGAAAACCGTGCAAAGCTGGTTATATGCTTTATTATATTTCACTGATTTCAATTCTATTTGTATCGTTTGAAAATTCGTGCAAGGAATATAAAATGCATTATTTTGGATTTTTGATTTCTTGGGATGATAACATAATTAAAAAAAAAAAGATTTACAAGATTTGAATAAATATCTGATTGTAAAACATAGACTTTTTAATTAATAAACTTCTATGAAATACCGTATAAGTGGAAATTTTAGCGAGACGCAAATTTAGCGATTTGTCCTTAAAAACTGGTATTTTATTTTTAGTGAGATGTTATTTAAGCGATTTAAAATTGCTCACTTAAGAAGCTATATCAAATAAAACGCAATTAATTTTTAGCGATATTTAATTTTAGCGATCTCAGCACCGTCGCTAATAATGCCAAAATTAAATCCTCGCTAAAAATTCTGCTTATACAATGTACAGTATATGTACACATGCTTAAACAAAATGAAAAATATGTATGAAGATAACGAACAGTATTCAAGCTCAAAAGACCATTAAACAATGCAAATCAGGAGCAGAGAAAACATGCTCTCTAAAACATCAAAGGTGAGATCAGGTGCGATAGGTTGTCCCTCCCGATGGTCATACCCTCCGTGTGCTCCTTGTCATGTTTCGGAAATAACGGAAAAATCTGTCAACAATTAGTATGAAAAACGTCAGTCAGTATTTGATTAAATGATAGATGTGTTTGCTGACAAGGCCATTGTGTCGACCTTACAACTAACGAAATGACTATAAACGAAACTGCTGATATTCTTGTTTCATTGTTAGTCATTAATTTACCTCGTTATAGAAAAGATGTTCATACGTAGAACATGCTCTTGCGTTTCGAACTGAGAGATATAAAACCCGTATATAGGTGATAAGGTATATTGCTGCATATAATAAGTAAGGGAAGTTGACCATTGAAAAGTTATAGTCATCACATTTATCGTAAATATTTGTTGAAAGATCACCATTAACGTATTTTTCTAGTTAAATATCCACCTTTGAGAGTAACTTTAGGAAACCATTAAACATACTTTTATATTCAAATTGTGTTTGTGCCACAAAACTATCCGATTCTCTCACTCTTTCTCTAAAAGAATGGGTCTACTTTCCAAAAAAAAAAATTATTTCCATTGTAATGAGAAATAATATATTCCATAAAATGTAGGGGTTTGAATTTGAAGATGGGGGAAACTAGCTCTGGGAAAAGATTACTTTCTAAAGACAATGATCACCTTCTTCTTGGAAAACTGACAATAGAGTTTTCCAGGAAAGAATTTACTCCAGGGTCAATATTAAGTGTGTGTGTGGGGAGGGGGGGATCCTACGGTATGGTAAATTTCTAGGAATGGGATGAGGGGAAAATTCCACTTTTATTATTTCTGTCAACAGGATATTTTGTTCCAGAGAAAGAAAAATTGTTAACTTTAACGTTATGAAGACTAGGGAGTCAGAATATGATAATTGCGTAAAGAAAATTCTATTAATGGGAAACTACATGCACTAAAAACCGAATGATTGTGGATAAGTCACCCTACCATTTTAAGTTACGGATATTTGATATGAATCAGATCAGATGTATATTTATGAACACTGTTATTCAAGCATGGGTTGGGATGAAAATAGTCAATAATGTGAACAAATTGAATAAATTGTTTCAATGCATCATTATTACTAAACATTATTCATTTCAGGTTAATTATCTAATTGTGGCAAGGAGAGGATGTTCTTAATTCTGATTAGGCGGCGGATGCTAAGCTAGATTCATGACGTCTCTGTTTCCTGTAAACATGATTAAAACATCAACCAACCATGGCTGAATCCTTGTTAATATAAAGACACTGGATAGACAAAGTGAGTTCTTCTTCATGTTCTTTTTGTATATATTACAACATTAATATGTGACATATTACTAGTAAAAATATATTTTGAAAAAGCAATTCTTTATTTTATTTCAATTAAAACCTGTGAAACGACAAAATGTTCATAATATTTCTTTTATTTGAATATGATTCATTAACACACATATATAACTCCATTTATTGCAAACGGTGATGGCTATGAAGACCAAGGAAACTTAAATGCAACATTCTTTATTCTGAACATAAAAAAATATAGTTGCGACCTTAAATAAGTGTCGTGTAAATAACATCATATTATATATGTGTGTTGACCCTTTGAGGAAGGATGTTGATAACATGGTTGGTTTATCCCGGAAGTTTTGACTTGTGCTCTAAGCATTGTGGTTTGTACTCACAGATGCGACGGCGGAAGAAAAGTGTTACGATCAATTTCTTCAGCATTATGTCCGAGATATGTAAGTATACAGCGATAACACGTGGGACTGTGTGGTCAGAGGGGGGAAATAAGGTTAGAGTGGGGGGCATTCTCAGTCCTAAATTACTTTGATTTCATTTGTTTTGAAGTGATCGTTTAAGTGAAATGAGAACAAGCAGGAAATATAAATGTTCGTTTCTCTCATAATGGCGTAACTGTAAAACACGAAGTTTGCCAGCGATTGCATTTTGTTAAATTTGCAAATAAGCCTGGTTTTGAATATCCTTTTCGAATATAGTTTTATGATTACTACCACTTTCATTATTGTTTTAAAATGTAACAAGCTTAATGCCATATTGTTTTTGTCACCCTCTTCAGATTTCTGGGAAATAAATTTTTAAAAAAAGAAAAAAAAGAAGATACTATGGATTTTTAGATATTGTCTGATCATCGATTAAAAAAAATAATTGTAATAATTTTTGAATAATTTTCAATATTCTTGTATAATTTGTTTTTAATCTTGCAACATTGGTGTATTTTTACAATACTGTTTTACCATTCTGCTTTCCCAGTCCAAAGACGGGAAAACAACCATAAATTTTCAATGCTAGGGCTTAACCATTCGTATTAATTATTTGATATCATAATCCAGCCGAAGAAACAGAAGAATTACTGTTGGCTGAAGACAGAATCTCAGAGAGATCATCAACGTCAAACTGCAGCAAGGAGGCAGAAAAGGAAAAACGGACGTCAGAAAAAGTAAAACACGAATCGGACACGTCCGAGTCCGAATTGTCCTCAGACGAAAATAGTAATTCATCCACAAGTACGGAAAAAAGGAAATACACCCAAAATGATGTTCTGGAAGAGTCGTCTGCAAACCCGCTCATTGATAAACCGGAAGCAACTAACGATCCTCTGGCAGGGATGGAAATGGATAATTTCGAAATGGATTTTTCGGAGTCCTGCCCTCCTCCTTGTGATGCAAGTAAGTAATAAAAAAAAAAATTCATATCATTTTCATACTTTTATTAAAAAGGAGGTTACGTTAATATCTTGTTGACATTTTTTTATGTATCAAGTCTTTAACACATACAAAAAAATATGATAAAGAATTCTTTATTAAAGGTAAGCGATTTGAAATCTTGGTGAATTGTACAGTGGCGTCGGATCAGCTAGGATTGTCTGGGACGTATAATCTTCACGTGCGGCCGGAATCTCTGGATTTAGAAGATTGTGACACATTAAAAACAGTGCATAGCTGGAAATATGATCATATTAAGAGATTTGGCTATAAGAAATCAACAAATGACTTTTTAATGGTAGTGGGACGACGGAACAAATTCGGAAACGGTGTGTTTGAATTCCACGTAATGGGAGACCCAAGACAGATCATAGATTCATTACAAAATAAGCCAGGTTGCTCTCTGAGGCTGCTGGATAGTGCCAAAAGAATAAGTAGCAGGATATAGCTCTAAAAGATGTTAAATACACAAACATGAACATCCCCGCACACAAGAGAGAAATAAGATTTTGATTGGCTGAAAGCACATTATGATATTGCTTAACAACCACGATTTTATTTTTGTTGCATGTAACATTTAAGGAAAAAACTTATAACCTTTTGATTAAAAATGTTGAACAGATTCATGTTTATATCATATCCTTGTTTGAAATTTGATTCACATTAATTATTATAGATCTATGTTTTTATCCACACAAAATCAGTTAACATCCAATGAAATTCAAATGATACGATATCAACAAATTAAGCGTTGCTTTTTTTCCGACATCCTCTTTTCTCCACGTAAATTTAAGTAGATTTTGCGTAAATCTACATAAAATACGGTGCTATTATTATGTTAATATGTTGTTAGTTTAATTATGCTGGTTTGTAAGTGCTGGATAGGGTTCTCATGTCGTATAGGGAAATATTTCAGGAAGATCCTCATGGTTTATTATATAAAAATACCCATTTTCATCAACAGACCCTCAAAAGACAGACATTATCAATTAGTGTCTGAGAGAGAGGGAGAGAGAGTTCATGCAATATTTCATTGTGGATCATACATTTTCACTCTTTTTTTATCCCTATGTTTCTATATTCTTGTATTAGATTTTATTGAGACAACGTACAAAATGGTGAAGTTGATCATTAAATTTAATTTTAAAGGAAACTGATATTATTTTTCATTCATTGCAAGGATGTTATTTTATATTTTTTGTCATTTTCCCCTCCATAGTGCAGTTGACAGGTACTCACCAATTAAAAATATACAATAAGTCAAATTCACTTGTTTCTTTGTAATAATATAATGCCGTGGAACCATAATTGTTCGTGGTGAACTAATTGGATGTCGAGTGTCATACTTCTCCACAAATTTTCATCCCCACGAACAATTACTATGTCAATAAATTTATTCATTTAATTTTCTGAATATACAAGTTACTCACGAAATTATTTCCTCACGCTCTAACAAAATTTTGCTTACTCACGAATATCTAACTCACGAACATTGAATCCCACGAATTAAAATAATTCCACAGTATATGACAATAATGCAGATTGCAAAATTAGTCAAAATTATGAAAGAAATAAAGTTTAAAATACAAAATGCATTTAAACCATGATTGATGCTTGATACATATTCAACTTTTCTGCGTACGCGTACAAAACGGATTAAGGAGTGAGACAATCATATTTTCATTCACAAAATCTGAAATCTGAAAATATCTTAAACCTTGTACTTTGTAGACTTTAACTTTAATATAATGCCAAAATTCTATCCTAGTCATTTTCCCCGGGTCAACAAGCCTCTGTTATGCTGCTTCCCTTACAAAATATTTTGGTCACACTCTGACCATATGGAACTGTCTATAAATACTCAACCATCATTATGCTAAATCACTTTCTTTATTTTTTATTCAGGCATACTTCAAATTCACTTTACACTGTGAATATACTGTATGATTATTTGAAACAATTATATTGTGAACTGAAGGAAAATATATTCACTTGACAAGAAGGTCGGTTCTGCAATACATTGCATGGTACCGAGGATAAAATGTACACAAAATAATCAAAATAGTGCAGGTTTTCTTGTTTGTTTTAAATTTGGTATGTTTGTTTTTATTTGGTATGATTTATTTTTCGGACTTTGGTTTTATTTATGTATTTTGTATCATATTTTGATTCAAAGGGTACATGTTTCTGAAGCCTAAATGCCAATTTCCGCGATCTTTATCCACATCAGCTAAGTTTTGTTTTGTTTCCTTCCTTTTACGATGAGATTGTTTTTGTTTTATCTCCTTTCCTTTTTTCCAAAAATAGTCTTATTGCAGTATGTATATCCGCCTTTAAGCTTTTTTTTAGAGAACCTCAACGATTATCATAAGTATGTAATATTTATTATCCACATTTAAAGTCTACCTAGAGAAATGGAGAATAATAACATATCGGCGATCTATAACAGAATGGTGTGTCAAAAACCCTGATTTCTATTCTTAAGCACTGTACAAGAAATAATATCTTGCTCTGAGTTTTCATCATATTTTGTAAACTGTCCAGAAATTGGGCTCTTCTCTTCTTTGTTAAATCTATCGATGTTAATACTTTTCAATCCTCAGTGATGTGCATGCTCTCAATATTCACTGAAATTTTTTTTGCTTATGATATGAAATTAATTTGTTGACATTCCACATTTGCAAGTATCTTGGCCTTGGCGATTTTATGTTAACCTAATCCTGTCATAACTGATTTGACCAGTGAGTTTATGTTTTTTTTTTATTTTATTACCTTCAATTTCTACATGAAATGCTGTAACTGTTCACTGTTCTATACTCATAGCCAAAAATCAGCTATAAGTTCCACAGCGGTTTGAAATGGATTAATATGATGTTATTTTCACTAGCTATCCCACTATCTGCAGCAGCTGTTGTAAGCTGAGTTCCTTGTCGCCAGGCTTGAAAGTTTGCTTTGAAACTCCTGCTGCTTGACTTCGTCCTCTGAAACCATCCAAGCCACTTTCGTCTTTTGACTATTGGGTGCACTTACCTTTCCCTCTGGCGACAGTAGTAGAGTTTTATGGGGTGTCTACTGACAAGGTCAGAAGTAGAGGATAGTATGGACGAAGCTGCCATGCAGGTTTTATCTTGACAATTTCTGATTTATCATTCAGAGCTTTTGTATCGGAATGTTTCTGTTCCCATTGAATATGGGTCATGTAGTTTTCCAATTATGTATAACCTTTCTGAAAAGAGATCTATTTTTTGTTTCCCCCACTTTTGATTTATGTCTTTGAATTTTTCCTTGTTCAAGAATCAATTACTGGTACATGTAACCCTGACGACTCTCTAAGTCTGCTTGAACATTTTGTATTCCTGGCAAATTTTCTGCAGTAATTGTGATTTTTTTGAATAGTCATTGATATAAATGAAAATATGGAAGAATATTCAATCTCAAAAGTCCATTAAACAATACAAAATAAGAGCAGAGCAAACGCGGACCTCCAGAACATCAGAGGTGGGATCAGGTACTATGGAGGAGTGAGGATCCCCTGTTGAAGGTATACTGCTGCATTAGTTAAGAAAGTTGATGATTGAAAATTAAAAATCATCACATTTATCATAAAGCTTGGTTGTTCGATTCCCCTTAATATCTTTTTCAAAAGTAAAACATCCAAAAATGAAACAGATGTGTCAGACTGTGGTATTTTTATCTCGAGCTCATCGGGATATATTTTACGTATCGACAAGGAATGGAAATAACAATTGTTAATTGACAATACGTCGTCAATAAGTCTAAATGTCGAAATGAAATGTTTTCTTCCTTTCACGTATAAGATTTTTGACAAATTCTGCTTCATCTGAAAACAAAAATAGGTCTGCTAATAACAGCGCAGTAGGTACCCATGGAAATTATAACAGATCGTTGTAAGACATGGTCTCCAAAAACCACATAGATATAGCCAGATATTCAAGCATCTCTTTGATGTCATCTTCAGAAAACCTGTGTGTACAATCAGAATGTTTTTAACAAAATAATTTTGCAAATGACCAATGACAAGGTAAGTAAATTTACACGTTCCATTTTTATTAAAAAAGCAGCTGTCTAGATTTTAATTTATCTTGGGGAATGTTTGTCTATAAAGTTTAAAAGTCGTAAGTTTTTAAGCTGTTGATTTTGGTAAAATCTTGTGATTTCCAATGTTCCGAAAGTTCCTTGGAATTTTTAGTTACAATGAAGCGCATTGAAGTGGTAAAATTCTCCGTTTGGATGAAAAGTTCTGACAGAGTCATGTTTTGAAGGTCAATTATAACATAATGACACGCCCATATTTTTAGAAACGAGAAAGTAATATTTTTCGTAGTTTTAGGACATCCCATTCTTCGCGACAAGCATCATGAGTTACACTGAAATGGAGCTTTAAAAAAATACAAGAGGGAGTTAGATACTCCCCGCTTCTGTTAAACACAAATTGCAACGACTATGTACATATTTTTCTGAACTGATCATGTCTATTGAAGTTACCACAACATGTTTCGATCGAACACGTGTTAACTCGGTGTTTATTCAGATCCTCAATTTGATTGGCTATTATATTTATGGAAAACCTGTTCTACAGGTATTTGAAGAAACAACTTGACTGTTTTATCAATTTCTAAAGAAATGGGCGTGTCAAAAGATGACAATAAACACTCTAAATATAGCTCAAAACGTTCCATTCGAACGGAAAATTTTACCACTTCAATGCGCTTCATTGTATCCACATCTGATTTACACCACTTTTCAAATAAATTGTGTCACAGTATTTTTGAAGTTTCTCCTTCACTACTGCTAATGTCTGGGTTAGGAATAAAGGAAGAAGCATGTTAAAACATTTACTGCAACACGCTATGTATCTTTTTTGTATGGTTGTAAGGATTCTTATGAAGTTTTGGAATTTAATATAGATATGGTAATTCAAATTCATTTTGGTTATTTGGAATATTAAAACTATTCAAAACTGACATATGATTTTGAAGAATTTCTTCCTTGAGTTCTTCTATGAGTTCAAATCTGTTTATGTTATTTGTATAATAGTTTTAATCCTGTTCCCCCTATTTTGTTTAGATAAGAAACAACGGTTGTGTTCTTTAATTTTATGTTAATACAAATGCTCTGTTCGTGTTTGTAATTGATCTATGGTTAAATTGCAAAATGCACTGCCTTCAGTTCTGGTACATTGATATTCAGTTTTCCAAGGTCTCCCATCTATAAGTTCTAATGGAGACATATTAAAGCCCCGCCCTGAATTTGATGCATCCTTTTCTACAATTAAGACCGAATTTGTCGACATTGAATCCCCCCTTGTCATTGTGCTAGTAGTGTAGCCACCAATATAACTGTATAAATGTTGGGATGATAGCTTCGGTCATAGCATTCAATGTCCCGAGTAAATTTCAAAACTCTTGCATGGAGACTTCTATTTTCCTTAACATGCCAGTTCATTTTCTTTTGATATTCTTTACGTTTGTTGCAGATAGCACCATCTTTATTTCATTGAATTGATTGTTTTACCCAGAAATTCTAGTTGCTGAGATGATGTAAGTACAGAATTTTTTAAAGATTTGTTAACCAGCTTAGATTGTGAAACAATCATTAAGTGTGTCTCTGTCTTTTGAGACCCGTCTTGTGATTGAATTACCAACAATACGTCGTCTAAATAAAAAAAGGCGGATTTCTATGCGTCTTTTGTGCCTAAGGTCAGCCCAAATGGCAGTGGATCCTTTGCACTGTAGGATCTGAAACCTCAGACACCTTCTGCATTGGTATATTGCATATTGGTATGAAATTTAAGTGTTAGCATTCTTTAGATCTACTTTGAATTATCAATCCCCTTTCTGTATCAAGTTTTGACCATCCCTATATATTGATAATTTTATTTGTCTTGGTTAAACCTTAACTGGTTCGAACCTGAATTCATGTTTTGTTTGTTTACTGAAATACTCTTCAACAAGTTTTGACCTTTCATATATCATTTATGACAGTAAATAGTTTTATGCTGACGAATGACTTAATATTGCAAGTTGGGTTTCATATTTGTGTTATGTTCAACATATATATACTCTTCAAAAAAAGAAACGCATAGTAGGAACAATGCCCTGAAAAATGTATGATAGTTTTGTCATACCTTTT